TGCAGGTTTGTCTACGGCTTCGAGAACATCTACCAGCTTGGTTCAGCAGGAGGAAATTCAGTGCATATAAAGCTCGATCCTATCACACTTGATCAATAAGAGTCATAGCATCGACGCCAATACAGCTTTCAGTGTTATATACTGAATTCCGAAGTCGTTTTTATGTACAGTTCGCCTACACGCGTCTGTTACACTTAGCTGAAGCTGCTGCAATAAGATAGAGTAAACTGGAACTTTGTATCCAAGATGAACACGTCCAGACACTGTTCCTTCCGTGGCCAAACTTGGACTGATGATTCTTCTTCTCACCAAGAGTGCTTCTTTCCCTCAACCCTCTTGGTTTTTTCTTTCTTTGTTTATTGTTATAGTTATTATTATTAATATTCGTCATAATTTATACCCTTCATTCAAACATTCTCTCAATACTATCGAATTTTCCATTTATACCATTCTGACTTATTATTAGTGCTATTATCTCCTTTCTCAATATATGCCTCCACTTGTTTGATTTCACACATTAATTATTTTATGATGAACTTCTCATTGCAGTCTTACTATCTCCTGTTTAATACATACCACTTTGTTCTAGCCAATCACTCACCTGACACCTTTTATAACCTTGAACTGACTTGTCAATTTTCCTACCCCACATTCTAACTTCGTTTATATAATTCCATCATCATTTTTCATCGCTTGACCTGATTGGTAGTAGTATTTTCCATATTTCTAGTATCAGTGTGATGAGTCATTCTCATTGGATGTGTTGGGTGTAGATTCTATGATCCAGGATTCACTAATCAACCTCTCTCTCCACTTACCTATATTACTTCTTAGAGTTTCAACCCCCTACCACCATTATGTGTGGTTGTGTGTTAACGTACGCAGTGCAATGTAGTGCAGAGCTTTTTTCTAAATTACTCACCTTCGTGGGATCAATCATTCTAACCTTAGCTAAATTCTTATGTTCTGATAATCTCACTACTCCCAATCCATGTAGTTGACTTCACCCACAGTCACTACATGGTATTTTGTAAATTATATTTATTATTATTATTAAACTATTCAAAGTCGTTTACAGAATACGAAGCAGTCTTCCTAAAATTGTACGAATCAAACCTCTTCAAACTGCGGAAACAGTGGCAATTCACTTGCTAAGTCTTGAACTATGCATACAGAAGTTTGTTCAGTCATTACACTTGTAATGGAAGTAATCTATGTTAATATCTGACAGGTAAATTCTATTTCTTTCTTTCTGTCTCTTCATTAGTACTATTTCTTTCTTTTCAATTGTAATATCTTACATTCTCAACTTTCCTGTTCTCAACTCCCACCCGATTTAATTTCTATACCTCATTACCACTATTACTGACCTGACCAACGCCCAATTTCTAGTCATTTATGTTACGTCATCCAATTTATTTGCTCAATTTTGGTCCTAATTTAAATGGCATTATTCTCTGCCCCACCTCTACTTAGTCTCTCCGTGTAGTTACCTCTGTTGCCATCGTGACCTAAGTTGAAACACTTTAGTCAATTGTATTACGTCATCTAACTTACTAACTCAATATTACTTCAGTTGCTGTCTAATCAACCTTGTTTCTATATTAGATCATTATTGTATTACCTGATTAATTATCTAAACTTGACAAACCTCATGTACACACACACACAAAATAGTTATATGTAAATGCGATTGTACAGCTATGTGAATGAATTCGCCATCGAAAAGAGTTTCTTCGCTGAACGTCTTCTCTTTTTCATATGACTTAATTGGGGTTTTTAGTCCTTTATTTTTTTGTCTAATCGGGTAAACAGGGTTCTTTATCCTACAGCGCTTGCCACCACTCTAACTCCTGCTTTTTAAGAATCCTACTACGTAGGGTCTCAGATATCCCCTCCTTATATAATATAACAGTAGATGCCTTATATTCTCTCCTATTTATGTTATCATTATTAGTTTCCCCATTATTTTTATTTTGCTTTTGACCTTTTCTGATCTTCCTGATGAATTTCAAACGATAGTTATTTGACACCAACCAGCTCTTCTTCTCTCTGATTCACTTCAACATTTCGGCTTTTTCGATGCACTACTTAGTGCTACTGCTCAGTTTGTTAGACACTTAACTAAGCCTGCCTTAACAGTTAACGGATCAGACGAATTAAAGTCTAAATACCTATTAGAATGCGTTGGGTTTCTATAAACGCTAGTGTGCACTTTGCCTTCTCCTGTTCGTTTTATTTTGCACTCTAACAGCTAATTCTCCTTGTTCATTTTCTCATTCAAATGTGGATTTTATCCGATTCACTGTTGAGTTTATGTGTGTGTGTGTGAATAAACTAGAGATACCTCCTGCTTTTAGCACTGTGAAAGTGTCATCCAGATGCCTCTACCATATCTTTGGAGTAGGATTAAATGTTATTACGAGCCATGTTCTCCCAGCTATCCATCCATAAAAATATCTGCTACGATTGGTGATATTCGTAATCCACCCCCTAACTACACCTTCTGTTTGTCAATATATATTTTGCCCGGGAATTTAAAGATAGTAGACGTAAGATCTTTTCAAATAGCCTGGATTCCTGAGAAATCCAAACGAATCTTAACAAACCCGTAGATTAACACTAAATATCGTCTCTTAAAATGACCAATTCCAGTTAAAAGAAGGTATTGTCTATGCATACTATGGAATAGAATATCAACGGCTGCATGAAACTGGCGCGGTGGTACCAAGTTAATCAAATAAGAATATCACTGTGTCGGAATGAATCATTGCCAGTTTACCTCTCATAAACCAACATTATCTCTACCTAGTTCATTTTGAAATTCCTGATGATTAATTTTGTCAAACAAAGATAATGAGTCTCTCTGTTGACATATTAGTTCCTATGCTTTATTTTTTGGAGAAGTCTCTACGTGAAATATGTGTTTCGACTCATTTACGACTCCTCAACTGAGCGTACGTTATATTTAACGAATCCATGGTCAATCCCTGGTTAAACTCAGAAAATCTATCTAATCCTTATAAACCGACTATTGAGAACTAATTTGATGCTCACTAAAGACTTCCTACAGAACAGAGTTTCCTGGAGTTTTAGTGAGAAGTCGTGACCAATGCGGTTCATCCAGTTAGACATTGGTTGGTGGTCGCGCTAAAAATCATGAATTGGTAGAAGTTAGAATTCATGGGCTGGCCACTGTATTGCGTCTCATTGGCTGAATGGTATACAAACTTGCCTTGTGACCGGAAGGTCTTAGGTTCAAACTTCAGTGGCTGAGCACTTCCGATGATTCCCAAACTAGTGGGATGGAAGAACAGCTGTTCATTACTCCCTGCTGGTTTTCATTAGTTCTCTAACTGATATTGATCCGTGGTAAAACTGTGAAAACGAATTCACATATCACTTCATTGTTTGTTTTAGAATGATATTCAGTATGTAGTAACCCATTAGCGCTCTCATTTAATTATCCCTTGATAACATTCACCGATTTCACGATCATCCTGCCAGTAATGAATCTTTTTCCATTCTTTTGCGTCCTAAGTGGAAATATAGAGCTTCATTTTTGAGCTTTTGAAGTCTCAGTGTCGGTGGTATTGGTTTTCTACGGGGTGAGATTGCTAGTCAGACATTTGACCTTCCCTCTGCACCAAACTTATTACCGGTTAAACAAGGTTTAGGAGTGCGTCACAGTGCAGAATCGACATCGGACCACGTGAGGTGTGGTTGGCGAACATTCTAACATTGAATCACTGACGCACTATTCAATCTCTAATAACTAGTATTATTTCACTCACACCATGTTACTACTAATGAAGCATAAGTAGTATAGAACAGAATACAACAATTTTCAATTAGAGAACCATTGAAAACTATTACGGGAGTACTGGACAGCTGTTTCATCCCACTAGTTTGGGAATCATCGGCAGTACGCACCCACCACAGGGGTTCAAACCCAGGACCTTCCGAGTAAAAGACAAGCTCGTATACCGTTCAGCCATTGGGATCCGATTGGATGGCGAGCTCATAAATTCTAACTCCTACCAATTCGTGACTGGCACCAACTAATGTCATCGGTGGAAAATCCATCCTCACACTTGACTGGATGGAGCTCACTGGTCACGACCTCTCACTAGAACTCCAGGAAACTTCATCCTGTAGCAAGTCACTAACCAGCGTCAGATATGAAATGAATTGATTCACAAAACATATACACACACACGCATACTCACACAGTTCGATACAAACCAGCATATATTTATTAAACATTTGAAAAAAAATTATATTTGTAAAATCTCAGTGAGACTGAAATGAGTAATGCCAATGTTTCGTTCGGAAATCTGGTCCGAACTTCTTTTAGAACTATTCTGTCAAATCTTGACGACAGTTCATTTGAATTATTTTGCAATCGAACTAAATTAACAAAGAAACTGTGTAATTGGCACAATCATCGTGTTTTCACTCTCCGTTGTCTGCAACAGAATGCATATCCTAAATCCGTAGCTGTCAAGTCACCTGACAACTCAAGTAGGTCGAATAAAGCAGCTCAATATTCAGAAAGAAGACAAAGCAATTAGTCCGACAGGGTGCTTAAACTAAACTCTAATCCTAAACACCATTATTTTGAAAATACGTCTAATCATAAAATTCTAGATACTAACAGTTTGAACAGACATGAAGGCGTGATGTTAGCTGATGCATAAGAAATCCTGATTAATAAATAAAAATGGATATGTATCACTAATTAATAATACTTGGTCAAATTCCTGACTGTCTATATCTTCCTATGGAGACGTTAAGAAATGTTTTACAACTGTTTACACACACACGCATGCACACTCTGTTTAAAGTGTTTAACAAAGGTAGACCAATATTTGTAAGTGCGGGGTCAAATTTTGATCACAGCTCATAAAATTTTGTTTATTATATTTGTTAATACTTGTTTTATGAATCATGACTGGACAAAGTTTTTAAAAACAAAAGATGTACCTTTTATATAAAAACCTCTGTTATGTTAATTTTGATTAGTTTCCCTGAAGAAGTTCGGACCAGTTCGCCGAACACAGGAAACGTTGGAATTACTCATTTCAATATCGCTGAGACTTTACAAATATAATTTTTTACAAATGTCTACTTCTCACTCGGCGCCCAAATATTTTAGAACTATCCTGTCAAATCTTGACGACAGTTCATTTGAATAAATTTATTAAGACTGATAGAATAAACTGACAATGTGGAAGATTAGTTCGGCCAGTTCATCATTGTGTTTATTTCTATGATCTGTTACGCAAAAATATGACTTATATATCACACAATATTATGAAAGCATAGTAACAAAACAGAAGAGAAATTGAGAGAGAAAGAGAGCACTTTCAGCTTATCACAGTGACAAAATAAGGTTATTAGAAGAAGAAGCAGAAAAATACCAGTGCCTTATACACACGCAGTAATAAGAGAAGAAAATGAGAAAATAGCTAGGGAAACGCATTATAGCCTCATATAAAACCAACCAAAATATTTTAAAAAAAATATGCATCGAAATTTAACTTAGGAACCGGAAATACTTTTGAGGTGACAGTTTAACTGAATGGTCAGTTACAAAAGGTGGTTGAAGGGTGTGTGTTTGTGCGTGTGTATGTGTGATGGAGCTCATGAAACCTTATGAAGTGTAACGTTATGAATTACAATAATGAGATTTAAGCTGTTCAAATGGGAGGATGGATGTACCAATGGGGTTGTAAAATATATACGAAAGACAATATTAGATATGTATTTACACAGAATTATGCGTTTTATCTGATTTTTAGAAGAAAAGAAAAAGAAATTAACTCTGAGGTAAGCAAGCTGTTGGAGCATGCTTACACAATAAACAATTTACAAGAATACTTACAGAAGAGAAAGGCATAAGAAGAGAGTAAAAAATGGGTTTTTCCAACCACTTAACAAATCTATAGAATATCACAGATATAAGCTGAAACAGGCACTCACAATTTCAAGATATCAGCGTAACTTTTTATTCCTTTGAACCGACTGAAAGACAACTAGATTACTGTTAACCAGTGATAGCATAATATGAAAGCCTTCCACGAGACGTCCACTTCCCGTAAGATTTGATACTAACGACATATCAGTAATGCCTTTATCTAAATTAATACATCGGATAGGTGTTAATGTTTCTGCTAACATGATAATAAAATGTCCCGTGCTGAATGACATTAAAATATGCTGAGAGATAATGCACTCGTCAGTAATGTTCTCACTGACATCAGATTGTTTACGATTCACACAACTAGTCCTCGTTGATATCGGTGTTGAAGTAAGCGATAGGCGTGTAACAACTGTGCGTCGACGTTCATCTAAACTCAGCTGGGAATAGTCATCCGCATAGGTTAGTGGAGCAACATCAGATAACTTTTCACCCGTTGGATTGAATAAACTTAAATGTGGTCCAATCTCATGGTCAGTAACAGTCGACGAGAAGTGATGTATATGAGATTCCGGTGTATAATTCCATTGGACATAAATTAAACCCAGTCTTGGTGCAATTAATAAATGATGCACAGAATAAGAATTTGAACATGTGAATATGTCAGATTTAGGATAGGAGTATATCGGTATGTGTAAATTGTCCACTTCAATTAGAATATCATCTAACATTAGAACACGTGACCATGTGGATAATTTTGCACTGAATAGATACACCTCTCTACAATGATCTGTAGCCATCAATGCAGTATCCAACGAGATATTCAAAGCAACACAAGTGACTGGATTACCGCAACCATTTCCATGGAAAAATCGAATAATTTTAGCTAATACCTTTGGTTTACCATGCATTGAAGTTGACGACCCTGGAGGATAGAAAGCGATACCAGCACTTTTATATTGTAAAATACAACCTGTTTGTGGTAGGCACACTTTATTACTTGATGTTGATAGATTCGGTGACATTAATTCACTACCGAATTCATCTTGGAAAAGATTTTCACTAGATAAACTTTTACGTTGTGTCATCTGATGATGGTCAAGTCGTAAATCTTGTCCAGCATTCAAAGGTTTTGTTGTAGCAGTTGTAGTACTAGTCCCGGAAGTGTTAGGCAACAAAGAATCTTGACTACCAAAGAATATATTCGTCTTCTTCTGTGATGATCTTCGACTATATGCAGAAAACTGCGATTCGTTAACACTGATGTTAGAGAATGGTGCTTCATCTGTCACACTTTCATTCATCTCATCATCTTCCTCCCCGTCGAGCATATCAAAATCCCAGACAGCACATGTTCCATCACGACTACCTGTGATGATATATCGTGTTCTTGTTGAAGTCACCGTTTTACTTGTTGACGATTTATCCATTTTTTCATAACCACCACGATTTGTGAAAGGACAACGATCAATTGAACTATAGACTGAGTCAATAGCAACACAACTGATTGTATCACAATGTGGACTTGTCAGAATTGCTTCGACTTGTGATGTGTGCATATTGTAAATGGTTAAACGTCCATCCCATCGACCACCAGCAAATAACCATCTATCATCAAGACTTAAAGCGAATAATTGTGCACCAACAATATGATTTGTTAGCGATGAAAGTAGGGTGGTGTTTTTTGTTTTATTCGGATTTAAACTGAACATGTTATCAAGTCTTTTATATTTTGTATTTGGAATAAATTGTATCCATGATTGATCCAGCGGTCCGATGGAGCTGTTTATATTTAAAAGAGTAATATTAATATATACATATATACATGTATTAAAATTAATTGATAAAGAAATTTAGTCTGCCGTGTGCTACGTATGCCTAGTCATCGCCTTCCTCGACAATGGGCAATGTTAGCTGATATTGGGTCAGTCTGGAAAAGAGCTAGCGGCGGTCAAACGAAAACATGGCACCAGTCAATGAAATCCACAACAATTAGTTTAAGTCACGTAGGAAGATGTAGACTTCCTGACTGGTTGGGGTCCTCGGGACGGTAAAAACCAATGGTTGGAAACAATTGGTGACATGGCTCAAAATCGTTCTCAATGGCTGGCACAGATGCATCCACTCCTTGTGACTTATGATTTTTAATGAAACTGTTTTTTTCTTCGTTATTACTATTCCCTTGACTCACACCTCTGTTTACTGTCTCTAATATGCATTTCTTCTACTTTCTTCTCTTGCTTTGTGTGCTACAAGGAGAGAGTGTGGCGACTTGAACTGCCTCACATATGTGCGAAGTTCTATGTCGAAAACCGACTGACCGACCGAGTCTGCCATGTATATTTCAGTCTGAAGTCAGACTAAGAAGATGAAATCAATTAGGGAATCTCTTTAGTAAGGACCCTCAGCCACAGAGTTAGAGCTATATGTTCAGAAGAGGTAACTGAAGGTGAACTAAGAATTGTATATAAGACCCTAATTGAAAATAGCTATTCAGAGAAGTTCATCAAGAAACATATCACCAAGAGAGCAGAAAAAGACGATTCTCCATCTCTAAATGAGAAGCTTTTATAAATAAGGGACTGCAGTTCAAGGGCGACGCATTCAGTGAAGTAACGGCTAGCAAGTTAAGAAAATCTATTCAATGAACCATTGAAGCTGGTAAACTACAAGTCTTATTTTCTACACACCCAGTTGTGATTCCCCGACTGAAAGATGAAGTACCTAGACTAGCTAGCCACTTCTACCAATACAACTGCGCTTGTGGTGGAGCCAGTTATATTGGCCGTTGCTTCAGGAACTTGATTTTCAGTGCTCGGGAACACCTACCAGTGTGGCTAAATACAGGTGTAGTAAAAACCATGAACAGTTCGACATTAGACCAATTGGTCCAAACCGACCACAAGGCCAGCATTTAAGAATCCTTCTCTATCATCTACCAGATACCAGAGAACTTTCAAAAAGCATCCAGGTACCGAATACTCGAAACGCGGAAGAGGCTATCTCAATTCGTCGTCTAGGAATCGAGCTCCATCTGCATGCATTGTTAGCAAGCACTCTACATCACAAAGAGTGGACACACCTGAACCAACCCTTGAGAATGATTTTCAGCAATATCACCAATTGTCTCCAGCGATTTGATTTTATCATCCCGAAGACCCTAACCAGTCAGTCATTATCTTTATCTCCCTACGTGGCTTTAATGAACTGTTGTGGATTTAATTGACTGATGAAGCCATGTTTTCGTCTGACCGCCACCGACTAGCTCTTTTCCAACCTGGTCCCATATCAGCTAACACTGCTCATTGAGGAAGGCGATCGATGGCTAGTCATCATGCGTAACGCATTTCCTAACCATCTCACTCAATCGGTGTAATTTCACAACCTCGTCCACCGATTTCCCCTTCTTACCTAGCACTCGACCGACCCTGTTATACCACTTCACACGGGAGATAGAACGCAGACACCTGCGATCAAAGACACCCAAAAACGAGGACAGAGAGAACTTCTGAGTAGTACACACGCCCTTTGATCGACAGCCGGAGATCATGTCTACTAAGCCAGAGGTGGCATAATTTGGCAAATGCCAAACTAGTCTTCTGTATCCGTACTGAGATTTCGTCAGCGATCAATCCGCTGTCAATGGCTGAGGCAAATTCCCAAAGAAGTGAGGTGATCAACACGCTCCACCAACCACTTCACTCCCTATATATTCAAGCTAGGAGTTATTCAGTATATTCCAGTCCTGTAGCATCACCTTACATTTGACAGGAGAGGGCGAATTGCTTGCCAAACATTCAAGGATTTTTGCTTAAGGTGTTCAGAAGACTCCAATGAAACCATGGACGCTTTCCAGTGTATTCAATAACTTGTAGAAGATAGAAAGTTATAGTACATGACTTGCATGACTTGCCTCACTCTGATGAAATGAACTTTGTTAAATATGCCGATGATCTAACTATTTCAATGTCTGTTAACTCCCAGCTAGACTGCACTAAGATGAACAGCTTTCTATCAGGAGTTAGCAAATGGTCTTCTTCTAGTGGTCTTAAACTAAATCCTTCCAAATGTCAGACTGTCAATTTCAGTTTCCGATGTAAACGAAAGTTAAATGAAGCCGTTGGTTCTTATGGTCGCCTGCAAAATTGATGATACTGATATAGAAACCCAGTCTGAAGTTAAGTATCTTGGAGTAATTCTTTCTTCTGACCTATCCTGGTCTCCCCATGTATTAGCGATTTCTAAAAGAATATTTTGTCTAACTTTTTACATTAAGAAGTTGAGGCACTCAGGCATAACTCAACCACTCCTCTTACAGTTTGTCAACTGGTGTATTTTACCTATTCTTCTTTACTGTTCACCCTTGCTTATTCTTTCCTGGATTGCTTAAAAAGGACTATGTCATACTTCGTAGAACTCTGAAGACTGTCAGTAGGACGAGTGGTATCCCATTGGGCCATATCGTTGACATTGTCATTGATAGACATTTGATTTCATGCAACAAATTTGCTAAAGGAATTTTGTCAGACTCTGAGCACCCACTCTACCCGCAGCTCCAACCTTGTGTCTCCTCAGGTAAAACAAGAAGTCTTTTCAGAAAAATTTATGCACGTACGTCTAAGTATAAAAATTCCACTATACCATATTTAGCACGTACTTTATGTGATGAAAATAGTGTCAGGCATGAACTAACTAACATTCTTTGTACCACTAAATAAACTATTTCCTCCACACTTACAACATCAAACTTTATTGTTATTGTATTTCTTATATGCATAATCCTCTCAAATTTTTGTTTTTCTTTATTTTTTTTCGTAAGTGTGAACATAATTTAAGCTGTATTATAACTGTTAATTTTGTATTTCACCTCACTATACTATATCAACAGAACATTAGACCCAATAATCTATAACATGCTTAAGTTTCCGAACTGAATCGATAATACCGTTTGAAACAAACTCACTGTTATTATTATTATTATTATTATTATTATTATATTTAATAATCTCAATTCGTGCTTCGAATATTTTGAACTTTATATCGTAAATGTGGACTAATTCCTCCGGTTAATTTTGTTTTAATTTTTAATTTTATTTATACATTTTGAGTAAATCAGATGCAATATTGTGACAAACGCTGAGAATTCCATTCTGTATTATAAGTAGTGCTGTTTTTGGAATAAAGTAGATTATTATTATTACTATATATTGATATGAAACTTTTAAATATGAAATTAACTCACCCATAGTGTTGTTGATTATTAGAATCATGTAGTAAACTATACGGATCCATAGGTTCAATATCACCTTTTGCATCTGACATTAACACTTGATCATCAGATGGTATCCAAAAGTATCGATTGACAACACCTCTGTTGTTCAATACAAAAACAGCAGATGCTAAACGTTCCCATCCAGTTTTGGTTGCATTCAACTGGTTTGAACTTTTAAAGGGAGCTGATAAATTTGACGCCGTCGATGTCTGATTAGACGATTCAGTAGTCAGTCCACCTGATGCAATTGATGCTACTGTTGGCAGATAATTTCCAGTGGAGAATAACCGATTCTTTATAAAACTACCACTACTACTACTATTACTGGAGTTATTATTATTATTACTGCTATTGCTGCTGTTAATACTAAGTGAATTTCGACCAGATTCCCGGTTGATATCACTTTCAGAGAAGGTGAAAACGCTTGAATCTGTTCTTGCCGGTCGACAGAATCCAGGGACAACAGCTAAATAAATTGAATTCAACTGCATAATTGTGCTTCTATGCTGAGATTTCAATAAACGAATAGACAGAGCTAAATTATCAATTGGAGGAGATTTAACAAGCATCCACTTTTTTTGTACTAGACGTTTCAATGAAGTATTACACTTTGGTATTAATTCTTTCTGTTCTACGGAGGTATGCGTAGAAAGTATGGAGTTGACGTATTCATTTCCAGTGTTATCCGGTAGGATACGTTGAAAGAATGATGGTGTTCTTGAAGACTTTGGTGTCGGGGTGGATTCTTGATGACATCTTGGTTGAATGGATTCAGTGTTTTGTTGTAATGTTGAGTCAGTCAGTTTTGATTCATTATTGGCTAGCAGATTGATTACTGGTAGTCTGCGTTGATTGATTAGAGTTGACAACCATTCTGAATGTGTTAAACGTCGAGGATGTGGTTCCTGTATTGATTGTAATAATAACAGCAACAGTAAATTATTTAAAACAATTAGTTCCCTTCATGAATTTAGATAAAGCAATAAGAAGACGTAATTTGTCTGAATCGTGTAATGTATTTGCACACAACACATTTCGAACTATCTGATCACACACGGACTTGTCATAGGAATATATATGAAATTAATAAAGAGGTAAGAGGTGAGAAAATAGACTTAGGTCAAGTTTAAAGGACATATTCAAGGTCAAAGTAACAATGAAGACCACTAAACCAAATAGCAGAGGTAATAGGACATCTGCTATGGTATCAAAACAAAATTTACCAAGGAAGGTTTATTGTGATGACAAATTGTTTTTGAACGCATAAAGGTGGCTCAAACTTTCTAATTGCTAGGCCTTCCACAGACTTTAGGATACGCCCCAAACACGTTTTATAGATAGGTTTAAAAGATGTGTTAACGTCAATTTTATGTCCTGTCTCTATAATATGTTTCGCAATAGAAGAGCTAGGTCTCCTGTTCTCACCGTTAATAGGTTCTGAAGATTCTATTTGCTTCTGGAGCCATTTAGGAATATGCTCTGAAGCCCTTGACCTTGAATATGTCCTTTAAACTTGACCTAACTTGTCTATTTTCTCACCTCTTAACTCTTTATTAATTTCATATATATTCCTATGACAAGTCCGTGTGTGATCAGATTGTTCGAAATGTGTTGTGCGCAAATACATTACACGATTCAGACAAATTACGTCTTCTTATTGCTTTATCTAAAGTAAATTATATATATATATATATATTCATATATATATTCAATTAAATTAATATGACCCGCTGCACAAGAGGTCTAGTGGATTATGCTTTGGCATTTGAAACTATGGGCACTACGTTCGAGCCTCGGTGGAAACATCATCACTCACTGAGAAATGCAGGTACATCCAATTGACGAGTCCCAAATAGGACGAAATCCGCATCCTAGATTTAACTGCTAGTCACCATGGACCAATTAAATTCTAATTTAATGACTAGACATGGATATATATTATAACTTCTACACAGAGTCTTGGAAGATAAAGACTAAAACTTTCAGGTTTAGAAGTAAACACACTGCTATTCAGCTGGTGAATGAAGTCTAATTGTCACTGTCTTCCGGCTTCTGTTAATTTATAATATAGCAGAAACAGCAGACACTGACGATGACGACACCTTTATTGTTTCCCTGCTAGAAAATATGGTTAACCCTGTTGGTGATTGAAACTTTAGTTACATATCCGCCTAACGGCTAGTCAACAGTGAGCGATGTTCAAATGCTAGTGTGAGGGGGTTTCATTGGTTTTAGGATTTCATCATGAACTGACATTGATTAGGGGACCATTGGAAAACCTGCATAGAGTACTAGACAGCATCTGTCTATTTCATCAGCCTAGTTTGGCACTCTTCAGTAGTACGCACCCTCCGCCAAGGTTATAACCCTGGACCTCCTGCCAATTCATGATATGGCGCGACCACTAGCGAATTTCATCGCTGTCGAGGATTTGTCCTCATACTCAACTGACTTGCTATACTCCACTGATCACGACTTCCCACTAGAACCCCCTACCTGGATAGAGCCAGTCACTAGTCAGCCAACATATAAATTTTCTCAATGATTAATGGCACTACTGGACGCAGTCATAAGACAGCTTTGTAAGTACGTGCTAAAAGATACATTTGAAGAGGTTAATTATCTTGATGATATTAATATTATGAATAAAAATAGGTATTCTTTTGATGTGAACTCTTTATTCACTGATGTGCCTCTACTCAAAACAATTGACATTTTGTGTGATTGCATTTCCCCTGTATCTCATTTAAAAGATTTATTATTGTTGATGGTGTCACTATAGGAAGTCCGTTGGAGTCCCTTTCTGCAGATATCTATATGTCGTATATTGAAAGTTTAATCGAAAATGTACCACTTTATAGAAGGTAAGTAGACGAGATTGCATTGTAACCATAAGTGGAAAGCCTTGTTCTGCTACCTCAATTTTTAATCGAATGAACGAAGTTCAGAATAGAGTATCACTTACATCTGTAGAAGAGGAAGATAACTGTTTAACTTTCTTAGAGATATTGCTTAGTCGATGACCTGATCTGTTTAGAGAAAACCTATTTGGAGAGGACAAGACATTATCTTATTTATCACAGTTTCTGCCCTGTTCGGTACAAAAGAGACTTAATGAGGTACCTGCACCTAAGACACACTTGACAATAAAGAATCAAAGTTAACATAAACTCTGGTTGATAGCAATTATCCAGACAAGTTCATTAAGAGATACTAAGTAGTCTCCAAAACCATATTGTGACCATTCTGGCGATATATTTAACTCAGGATGTTGTATATGAAAGCAACTGTTCATTTGCTTAGTTTAGACTGAGTAAACGACAGCTGGTTAAAGCTGAAGGCACAGACGCAATTGAAATGTCACCCTCTCCTAGATTTCATTGGGTGAGATTTTCCGTGACTGATTGATCTAAGAAACATTTCATTATTCAAATTTCCTTAGCTTATTATAAAAATGTAAAGCAAACTTCAGAAAGACTGAATCAATAAACCAGGAGAAGTAAAGTCTTACTTTGAGTAGTTGAGTTGGTATTTGTCCAAAATTCTGTATCATACTTTCCATAGCTTGACGTTCAAATGTATTGTCAATTTTATCCAAGTCAATAGCACCTTCATATGTTACAAAATTGAAGACATTCAAGGCTTCAACTGCATTTTGACCACGTTGTTTATAACTATTGGTAAATAAGAAAGGAAAATTCGGTTGTTAATAATAACTAACTTTTTGAAAACTCTCTTTAGATTCTTTGAATATAACTTTATGAGTTACGTAGTTGCAGACAGTCGACAGTACATCCAACACTAAGGTCTCGTGATTATTGAAGCTTTTTAGCAATCCTGAAGGAATTGATCCACTAAAGGAAGTTAACTGAAAGGTCGACTGACTGCAGAACTGGATGACAAGTGCTGAAGTCTCAGGAGCGAGTGCCAGCGACTACGAAACTTAGGTCTAGGAATTCCTGTAAGAGAACGATTGTTTAGAAACTCCCCCCCCCCCCGGAACGATCTAATTACAACACTAGTACTTATTCGGATATTTGATTGGATATTTCAACTAACCTTGTAATTCAAGTATTGGTTTGTCAGGATTTGATTGATTGGTTACAGAATTTCATCATGAACTTACATCGGTTAGAGAACCATTGGAAAACCTGCAGAGAGTACTGGACAGCTGTTTCGTCAGCCTAGTTTGGGACTCTTTATCAGTAAGCATCCACCGCCAGCGTTTAAACGCAGGATCTTCTGGTTGCAAGGCGAGCTTGTAGACCATTGAAAAGCCACTGAGACCAAGATCCAATGGCTGGCTCATGAATTCCAACTTCAGCCAATGTCTTCGGCACGTGCTATGTACTGAAGTGGCAGAAGCTGGTCCCAGTGACTGAATGGTCTACGAGATCGCCCTCTAATCAGAAGGTCCTGATTTCGAACCGTGGAGGTGGTGGCGTGCTGCGAAAGAGTCTCAAACTATGACGAGACAGCCGACTGGCAGTAATCCCAGGTTTTCCAGTGGTTCTCTAGCAGATGTCAGCTTATAATGAAATCCTATAACTGACCTTGCAATTATTACTAGCTAATTTTGTTGTACAGTACTTGTTTCCTAACCAAGATACTACTAGATCTGTATAGCCAGCTACCTAATGACACAGTTGAGGTGATTTTAAGTTTTGATACGTTATTATTATTAAACAGTACCAAAGATTTTACCGCAAATAACTGTCTTCTTCCTGATGTCAGGATATTTCGGGACTGTGAGGCACTCAGGAAGTTTCGGTTATCTATACAGTAGAATAAAAGGATTGGTTTCCTGCGTTCAGATCCCAACATGTTGCTTTTTGTCAATACTTGTCCTATTGACTGCCCCAAACTATCCATTATCCATTGAAATTGTACCACGGTGGCGTTTCATCTGGGATAGCGATCAAATTCCAACACTGACTGATGGAATTCAGTCAATACCAAGATCATGGAATAGACACAAGCCATTGGCTACTCCCTAACGACAAATCCATGTATCCGTTAACGTCTTATTGTGTCCAGAAGTACGGCGTATTATTCATTTTCTTTTGGTCAACATATACCAACCAGTTCATATACAGGTCTCCGTCATAGTGAATTCCACTAACACTGATAACACTGACTTTCAGTGGCCCTACATGTAGCAAATTAGTAGAAGTCAAAATTCACGAATCGCTGGATTCCGACCCAGTGAATAAATAATCAACTGCTTCGCTTCATCACTTAAAGGCCAAGAAATAGCTGTCTAGCACTCTCGCGTTTCCATTAATTTGTGATCTAACCTAGAAAGAATTCTATCAATGGAACCCATCACTTATAACTTAATCGAATCACATGTTTTATGATGCAAATCTACTAGCAGACAAGTGATCATATGATACGTATAAGAAATTGTCACATGTCTGCTAAAGCACTTCTCAATTCATCAGATTACGTATTCCACAAGGAGACATAATGACGTAAAAGTCTGTTAAAAATGTGTTCTATGTGTTAAAATAAAAAAAACGCTTATTGTAATAAGATTGAAACTAGATCAAACCAGTAGTAGTGTAACGACAGAAGACAAGGATCAGGCAACAGATCGTTTATTGAGAAAATCAAGAGGTATTTATAGATTTTTGTGTACATTATTATTCGTTATTATTAGCAGAAAAGCAACGTTTTCTGATTGGTGGTTTTCTTGGTCAAGGTTATTCTGTGATGATATTAGATGGTTGGAGGCAATCGGCAGGAAGCCTTGCATGACCTAGGTTTCGTGCTAGTTGGCAATCACCAGTTAGCAAGGCGTATCTGCAACCTTGAAGGAACTGATGTCCCTTCTGAGATTCGAACCCGCGTCACCCAGTGCTGCATTCAGAGACGTTACCACTGAGCTATTCGGGCTCGCGATTGACCTCCTGTAGGACTGTAGTGAATATTTTGATTTGACACTAGTAACTAGTGTGATATATCTAGTCTGTCTGCACCAAAGAGAGGGCTAGATGCATCACACTAGTTACTAGTGTCAAATCAAAGTATTCACTACAGTCCTACAGGAGGTCAATCGCGAGCCCGAATAGCTCAGTGGTAACGTCTCTGAATGCAGCACTGGGTGACGCGGGTTCGAATCTCAGAAAGGACATCAGTTCCTTCAAGGTTGCAGATACGCCTTGCTAACTGGTGATTGCCAACTAGCACGAAACCTAGGTCATGCAAGGCTTCCTGCCGATTGCCTCCAACCAACTAACATCATCACAAACAATGTACACCGTGATGGCGAGCTACCTAGAATGGTGGCCACATTACAACCTGACTGACAGAATTCAGTCTGCACCAAAGAGAGCACTAGGTGCACCACACTAGTTAATAGTGTCAAATCAAAAGGTTATTCTGTCATCTCTTTGTGGCCGTTTCTTAGACAGTCAGCCCATATATCTGCGAATCGTATTTGCATACGTTAAGTCCGCTGTGACTGGTTGTTAAGTTCCTCAAGGCCAAGCATTGTTATTGTTTTTTTCTCATGATCCTGATTCGGGACGTGAAAATTGACGTAAATTGTTGTCTACAACTTTGGCTTATTCGGAGCCAGCTCTCACCACAGTAGTACTCCAACAGGTATAGATATAAACTCAATCTATCCTACTAAAGGTTTTAAGCTCAGACATTTTCGTTCTTATTGTAACTAGCTCACTTATCTTTGTCAATTTAACGATTGTCAGATTGTTAAGATTTCTATCTGAAATCTTAATGCCCTCTGGGTTTCCATTTAAAATTTTATCAGTCTCCAATGCACTCAAGCTTATTTTCACCCGACACTATGTAGAGGTCAATTGTAAGCCTGAACATCTCAGTGGTGGTACCGTCTGTGAATGAAGTACTGGGTTGCCCTGGTTTTACTCTCAGAAGAGACATGAGTTCCTTGGAGATTGGAGAGACACCTTGTTGACTAGTGAGTGCCAACAATCACTAAAGTTAGGTCAGGCAAGGCTTCTTTTCGATTGCCTCCAACTACCTAATAACAGTCATGCTTCTTTAGAAAGTTCTATCAGAAATGTATGCAGAGGAACATGGGAAGACATGGTGGTTTAGGGGATATTAGAGATCACAGACAGTGAATTCACCTGCATTACTGAGAACGATTTTGATCCAACTCACCGATAGTGTCTAGCTATTGGTTCTTAACCTCCTCAGGGCCTCAAACAGGTGGTCTGCTCCTCTCTACATGGCTCAGACCAATTGTTAAAGACTTCAGGGACTGATTTCAGCTTTAAATTTGACCACCCCTAACTGTTTTCCAACCCATCCCTATGTCAGCTAACATTCTTCATCGAGGTAGGCGCTGGCTTAGTTTAACAACCTCATCGATTGAATTACCCTCCTTGCTTAACAATCTACGTCTAGCCTCAATATTACTCACCATATTACATCACCTAACACTGGGGATAGAACGCAAATATCTGTGATCAAAAACAGCCAGCCTCATCAGATGGCTGGAGACAGTCGGTAGGAAGCATTGGACCTAATTTTCGTGCTAGTTGGCATTCTTCTCGACTAAGGTCAATCGTTAGCCGGAATAGCTCGTTAGTAACGTCTCTGACTGCATGATTAAGTGGTGCGGGTTCGAATCTCAGGAGGAACATAAGTTCCCCTAGGGTATCGGACAAATCTTGCTGACTGCTGAGTGCCAAATAGCACGAAACCTATTTCCAGGTAGGGCTTCCTGCCGACTGCCTCCAACCATCTAATACCACCGATTCACAGTGCACCGTGATGGTGAGCCGTCTAGAATGGTGGCCACATTGCAAACATGACTGGTAGAATTCAGTCTGGAGTGGCCAGGCTTTTCATATTTTCCACTTCCAATGGCTATGTCCCACGGTCATGAAAGAGCACGGGGCGAACTGCTGTGCAGTGCAAATTCCCTTTGATCGATAGCCAGCCGGATATCATGTCTACGCCAGAGATGATATAGGCTGACAAATGCCATATGGACTTTTTATATTCCTGCTGAGACTTCATCAGCAATCAGTACATTGGGGCTGATGCAGCATGCCCAAACGATCCATACCCTATCTCTAAACTGGAAGACAGAGCAGTCCACTCTTGCCATATGCCAAATATCCGAGAATTTCTACCTAACGTGTGTTCAGAAGACTCTGCCTTTCGTCAGCTGACGAATCCTGAATTCCACTGCTAGTCGATGTCAACCAAACAAATTCCAGCATATCATTCAAGATGATTTCGAAAAAGAAAAAAGAAAGAAAAAGAAACCACTTACCCAAAGATTAAATCAATCCATTCATGTAAATGTGCAGAAACGTAGTCAGATTCTAGTGCACCCCGATGTTTACGTATAAATTCTTCTGGTGTAGATGCCCAAGCCGGTAGTTCAACATCATTAATGCGTGTATGATTTTGTTGAAGACAGCCTAAATCAAAAGCTTTTTTGACAAAGAGAAGAGAAAAAAGTAGAAGATGATATATAGAATTATGGCTATGTGTAAATATCTTTGAATTGAAATCGCTTTGTTCTGAGACTGAAGGACGAAAGTATCATCAATAAAAGTAGTGTTGTTAGATAGGAGAGAGGATAGCACATTAAAAAGGTAGATTTATTGAAAGTCAAAATGTACAAGGGAGTACATTAACTTCAACATTTGGGTACCTTTAGGTGGGAAGATAAAGCTTATCCGTTCTTTGTGCTCCACAATGCGTGAAATTAGCTCTACAGATATGTTCGAGATGGAACTGGGAAACTTTCGCATAACTCTCTTGAATCATAGATACCCTGGGAGGTTAATGGACAGAAACATCTAGAAAGAAACTGTCCCCAGCATAAAAAATCACAGTATCAAAGAAGACACTATTTATGAGTTTGGCGTTGAAAGGTGGCACCCTTACTGAAGGGATTAAAAGTTGTTTATCTAAATGTGCTAAACGCTCCTTTTATGCAGCTGACTTACATTTAGTATTTACTAACCGAAATGTGATTAGACAATGTGTCAAGGATAAACTACCACTTATGTCCACCTCTATGTGCATACACTCATTCACACGCTCGTGTGGAGCTGATTACATTAGAATTTGTAAGCGTGTTCTCCATTAAAACGAGTAGCTGAACACTAGCCGGTTCGGTTAATGAAAGGTGAGCAAAGGAAGACAAAGTTATCAATTTGTGAGCACATTCTGGAGTCAGGTCATTCAGCCACACGTGACTTATCCTTCAAAGTTATTCACAGAACCATATCCAACCACTCTAATAGGTTACATTTTCTCCACTTTTGCATAGTCGAAGCTCTAGCTATACATAGACAGAAACCTAAGTTATGTATTCAAAAACGTTAAGTTAAACTTCTTCCTTTACCTTGGTTTTAGTAATGTTTGTTTATTTTATTCTATTTTACCACTTAAATTCATTTTACCTCACTTCACATTAGCCGATTTTACTGTTACTATCATCACACTGTTAATTTTTTGGACAAAACTTGACCTACAGCCTTAAAATCTTTATACAAGTTAACTTATTTAATTATCTTTAAAAGTTTTGTAATTCACTCATTTCAAATCTAACCCCTTAGTACATCATTTTAATTGTCTTTATTCTTATTATATGTGCACTACTGACTGAGCAATTCCTAGTGCCACTTGGTGCCATTTTCCGTAATATGAATACGACTGTACAGCTGGCTGAAAATGAGTAGAGTGCTTTGCTCAGTCTGATGTATTTTCTCGGCATTCTCCTCACAGCCGAACATTACCATAGTACCTCTCGTTCGACGGAATCGAATGCCGCTTTCAGGTCAAGAGATCCTCTTCCTAGTCTAAAGCCTGCCTGGTTCTCTCGTGTTTTTTTCTCCTGAGCACCACTTAGTCTACGCATGATTATTGAGCCTAGAACTTTAAATATCATATGGGTTAAGCTAATCCCTCTGTGATTATCACAGGATGACTTGTATTTCAGGACAGTCAGTGACTTACACCAGGCCACGAACTGGTTTTTTCCAG